AGGTCTCAGAAAAACAGATACAGTTTCACCTTCTGCAACACAGAATTGGAACATACCACAAATTACACATACCTTGGTCTGAAAATCAATGCATCGGGGAGCTTTAACTTAGCAGTGAATGCACTAAAAGACAAAGCCAAAAGAGCATTCTTTGCCATAAAAAGAACATTTTACAAAATTAAATTACCTATAAAAAACTGGTTAAAAATAATAATAAAATAATGTGCTATATTGTGCTGTGAAGTATGGGGTCCACTTAGCCATCCAGACAACTCACAATGGGACAAAAACCCAGTGGAAATCCTGCATGCTGAATTTTACAAAAATATACTCCAGGTCCACTGAAACACACCAAACAATGCATGCAGGGCAGAATTAAGCCGTTACTCTTTGATTATTAACATTCAAAAACAAGCATTAAAATTCTGTATTCATCTAAAAACAGGAGAACCAAATTCCCTCCTATATAAAAGGCCTTCCTATCCCAAGAGCTAAGCCCCAACAGAAGTCCTCTCAGTCAGCTGGCCTTGAATCTAACCACCCAAATAACTAGCAATACTAACTATGACATGTTTCAGACCAGCACTGCTTCAATTAAAACCAGCCAATTAATAAATCAACTAAAACATTCTTGTTTGGAACATTGGAAGAAAATGACAAAACCGCAAAACAAATTAAATTGCTACACTATGTTAAGCAGAAAGTACAAACTGGCAGAATATCTCTCCACTGTCAGAGATATAAAGCAGAGACAGATCCAAACCAAATACAGACTAAGTAATCACAGCCTGGCCATTGAAACAGACAGGCACAAACAAACCTGGCGCCCCAAAGAGGAGAGGATATGTGATCACTGTGAGACAGGTGAGGATGACACAGAGCTACACATAGTCCTATAATGCACCAATTACACAAAAATTCACAAAGACTTCTTTGAAAAACGTAAAAAAATATATCCAAATATTGAATCAGGGTCTAATCTCCCTTTCCCCATGTAAAGCTCTGCAAATTATTAGAGCTTCAGTGCTGATGCGATCACCAAGAAAAGGGCACGCCATGTCCGACAAACTATCTCCTACCTACATGCTGCAGGCTCTGCAGGTGCTCTAACGAGTAACTCCAGGATAGTTGAAGTAAACCTGTTCGCTCGCTCACTCCCTCACACACATGCACGGACGCACGCACTCACGCACACACACACAAACACAAACACACATGTGCTCCAGAAGGGGAAGGAGCCAGAGGGAGAGAGACAGGTGATAACCCCCTGTGGTTGGGCATGTTTATCAAAGGATTCTACATTTGGGGGTATCTTAGGGCTTACCAACCACAAAGAGGGTTGTACCACGCCCAATTCTGCTTTTACCTGGTAACCCCAAATGTACATCCATTTTGGCTGTCATAAGTGTTTCATTTTAGTTTCTAAAATAAGACTCTGCTCGTTGCCATGCTTGAAAAGCCTGTTGCCTCTTTGGTCACTGATTCAGGGGTATTTACAAGGGAGTGGAGTCCATTTGTCCCTCAGGCCGTGTCTGGGTGCATGGCAAGGGACCATAAAAGAAGGGAGCAGGGTAAATAACCATAAAATGCATGTTGCTGTCTCGACACTAGTCTATGGACAGAACACACATATAATCCCACTTTCACACTGAACTTCAACACAAGATAACTCTGGTCAGGAACCACAAAGCTTACAACCCTAAGACTCATGGGGTTTTATCCTGTTTTACTTTGCAGTGATGGAGGAGTAAGAAGAGAGGGATGGGACCAATGTGGATAAAGGAAGGAAGGCTGGAGAGAGGAGAAGTTTGATTGAGAGAAGGAGCTGTTTAAGGTTTCTCTGTATGGAGCCATATTCACTAACTATTTACTAAAGGTCACAAAGTACACAGCACTACTCACCCCAGTGTCTGGAGTTTACAGTTTGGACTCTTCAGTCCAGCACAGAGCAGCTTCACTCCTGAATCTCCCAGGTTATTGTAGCTGAGGTCCAGCTCTCTCACGGGTGAGTTTGATGACTGGAGAGCTGAGGCCACAATTTCACAGGACTCCTCTGTAAGACCACAGCTGCTGAGTCTGAAAGAAAGAGGTGATGTGTTAATATTTAACACTTAATATTTTAAATGTAGTATTGATAGTGCTCACTGATAAAGAGTGATATTGAGGATTGTAAGATCTACAATGCTCTGAGGAAGATGTCTGTGCTACACTCTCCAACTACAGCACTTTACACCTGAGAATAAGATGTCCTGCTCAAGTCTGACAGTTCTACACCTGTGGTTCTGACTCAAATAGCGCCTTTTCCTCTATTCAGTTCTGTCAGAATTGGGGATAATGGCCCAGCTACCTTTTGCATAGTCTTTTTCAGGGGTTTAAGCCTCACTCATGGCCCGACTCATGCCCCTGAGCCAAGTGTGGACAGCAGGGCTAAGGATGGAGTTATCAGATCCTTTTATACTGTATTTCATTATTAAAGCAAATTCCAGCCTTTAGAGTGAATAGTGAGTTAGCTTGACAACTTGTGAAGAGTTTGTATTTCCTTCCAATGACAGTAAAAAAAGCAAACATTATCACACAGCTAAAGGTTCATAGGAGTAGTCACAGGAAGGCAAGGGGGTTTTTAGTTCACATCTGATCTGCAGTGCAGCGTGTCTGTTCTGATGGTGATCATTTCTCAATGACCTGTGACCAAATGTTTTGATGGTATTGGTTTTATGAATTTTACCAAGAAACCCCAACGTAGGAACACCAGTGTCAAAACAGTGCACATCACTGAGCCATCAGCAGGAAACTAAAATCATGTTTTGATGTCAAACACAATGAAAGAGCTCAGATACGAAACCAAAATATTTACTCTCTGATACTTACCTGCAATTCTCTGAAAAAATTAAAGACAAAATAACAACCAAAAAGCAATGAATATTCTGCTTTCTCTGTTTTCAGGCTTCAGTCAGTTTCAGAGCTTGTTTATAATCAGGTCTGCATTTCAGAACATTCACAGGTGCTTCTGATCAAGTTAGTGACCTGAACTTCAGAGCTGAATTATTATGGTTAAAATTATAACCCCAATTATTTTGCGAAATGTTGTGATTAAATTTATTAATCTTAATCATTTGATTCAGGAAACAATAAAACAATAAAAATAAACAATAATTTTCTTTTCATTGCACTTTATGAATCTTAGACCATGTTCATCGGTTTTGTTTGGTTGTAAATCAGTTGCAACAGCTAGAAAAGCTCATTTTCAATTTTACTGTGGTCCTTATTCAAAGTATTTAGTTGTACAAACAACAATGATAAACTTGTGTGAAATCGAAGTACAGGAGGTCCTCGGGTTACGACGGTCACAAGCTATGACGGTTTCGTGGTTACAACGCACTCCCATAAATTACTTAAGAAGCCTAGTTTCGACCTAAGCAGTTTGGTTCGTAAATACGACCACAGAAATAAAGATAAGAAATTGTTCTCTCTTTTTTTTATAAATGTTTCATTTAATTACTGAATTTTATATGTCCTTCATGTGTTGTGTGTACAGTGTGGGTGACTTAATGTGTTAATTTAGGTATAATTTAGGTATAAATTCCGACTTACATCGAAAATCGGCTTACGACAAGTCGTAGGAACGGAACTCGTTCAAAAGTCAAGGACCCCCTGTATTTCAAAATTCTGTGTTCACTTTGCCACTTCCAGCTGGCCCTGATGTCTCCTGCTCCTGTACTGGCATCACAGTCCAGCATTTACCAGGTTCTGGGTCAATGTGCTCAGCATCCAAAGGTATCACAGTCTCCTTATCCTCAAACTCTCATAATATGCTGGATGGAAAGTGCTCAGTAATTCTTTGGAATTGGGTGATTTTTCCCAGTACCTGGAAAGCCTTTGATACTTCAGCATAGTCTGTATAAATACCCACATTTTGAAGTATGATTAAACTCTCAATGTCAATGTCATATATCCAGCATAAATTCATTCTGTGGCACTGTACCACTGAATTACCAGATTCTGCTTTACTTTGCTGTGATAGAGGAGTAAGAAGAGAGGGATGGGACCAATGTGGACAAAGGAAGAAAGGCTGGAGAGAGGAGAAGTTTGATGGAGAGAAGGAGCTGTTTAAGGTTTCTCTGTATGAAGCCATAATCACTAACTATTTACTAAAAGTCACAAAGTACACAGCACTACTCACCCCAGTGTCTGTAGTTTACCGTTTGGACTCTTCAGTCCAGCACAGAGCAGCTTCACTCCTGAATCTCCCAGGTTATTGTAGCTGAGGTCCAGCTCTCTCACGGGTGAGTTTGATGACTGGAGAGCTGAGGCCACAATTTCACAGGACTTCTTTGTAAGACCACAGCTGCCCAGTCTGAAAGAAAGAGGTGATGTGTTAATATGTAACACTTAATATTTTAAATGTAGTATTGATCGTTCTCATTGATAAAGAGTGACAATGAGGATTGTAAGATCTACAATTCTCTGAGGAAGATGTCTGTGCTACACTCTCCAACTGCAGCACTTTACACCTGAGAATAAGATGTCCTACTCAAGTCTGACAGTTCTACAGCTGTGCTCCTGACCCAAATAGCCCCTTTTCCTCTATTCAGTTCTGTCAGAATTGGGGCTAATGGCCCAGCTACCTTTTCCACAGTCTTTTTGAGGCTAACTCTGGGCTTTAAGCCTCACTCATGGCCCTACTCATGCCCCTGAGCCAAGTGTGGACAGCAGGGCTGAGGATGGAGTTATCACATCCTTTTATACTGTATTTCATTATTATAGCAAATTCCAGCCTTCAGAATGAATAGTAAGTTGGATTGACAACTTGTGAGAAGTTTGTATTTCCTTCCAATGACAGCAAAAAAGCACAAATTATCATTACATTCCTGTCATTTAGCTGACACTTTTATCCAAAGTGACTTAAAGTTGATTAGACTAACCAAGGGCCAATCTCCCCAGGGAGCAATGTGGGGTTAAGGGCCTTGCTCAAGGGCCCAACAGCAATGGTGTCCTTGCTGTGGCTGGATTGGGATTTGAACCACTAACCTCAGGGGTGCCAGGCATGTACCTTAGCCACTAGGCTATAGGCTGCCTGCAAGCTAAATCACACAGCTCACAGGAAGGAAAGGGGGTTTTTAGTTCACATCTGATCAGCAGTGCAATGTGTCTGTTCTGATGGTGATCATTTGACAATGATCTGTGACCAAACTTTTTGATAGTTATTGTTTTTATGAATTTTACCAAAAAACCCCAACGTAGGAACACCAGTGTCAAAACAGTGCACATCACTGAGCCATCAGCAGGAAACTAAAATCATTTTTTGATGTTTAACACAATGAAAGAGCTCAGATAAGAAACTAAAATGTTTACTATCTGATACTTACTTGCCATTCTCTGAAAAAATTAAAGACAAAATAACAGAACCAAAAAGATGTAAATATTCTAGGCTACTACAGTCTGCTTTCCCTGTTTTCAGGCATCAGTCAGTTTCAGAGCTTGATTATAATCAGGTCTGAATTTCAGAACATTCACAGGTGCTTCTGATCAAGTTACTGGCCTGAACTTCATAACTAAATGATTATGGTTAAAATTCTAATCACATTATTCTGCTAAATATTTTGATTTAAATGTGTAATCACAATTATCAGTCTGATTCAAGAAACAAAATTATTTTTTTGTATTTTATGCATCTTAAAACATACTCATATTTTTTCTTTGGGTCTTGAAAATCAGTGCATTATTCATTTCTCAACAGTTGGAAGTTGCAACAGCTAGAAAAGCTCATTTTCAATTTTGTTGTGGTCCTTATTTGAAGATTTAGCTGTGCTATGAGTTAGCTGTGCTATGAGTGATAACGACAAACTGGTGTGACACCAAAGTATTTCCAAATTTTGTGCTCACTTTGCCACTTTCAACTGGCCCTGACATCTCCTGCTCCTGTACTGGCATCACAGTCCAGCATTTACCAGGTTCTGGGTCAATGTGCTCAGCATCCAAAGGTATCACAGTCTCCTTATCCTCAAACTCTCATAATATGCTGGATGGAAAGTGCTCAGTAATTCTTTGGAATTGAGTGATTTTTCCCAGTACCTGGAAAGCCTTTGATACTTCAGTATAGTCTGTATAAATACCCACATTTTGAAGTATGATTAAACTCTCACTGTCAATGTCATATATCCAGCATAAATTCATTCTGTGGCACTGTACCACTGAATTACCTCATTCTGCTTTACTTTGCTGTGATAGAGGAGTAAGAAGAGAGGGATGGGACCAATGTGGATAAAGGAAGGAAGGCTGGAGAGAGGAGAAGTTTGATTGAGAGAAGGAGCTGTTTAAGGTTTCTCTGTATGGAGCCATAATCACTAACTATTCTAAAGGTCACAAAGTACACAGCACTACTCACCCCAGTGTCTGTAGTTTACAGTTTGGACTCTTCAGTCCAGCACAGAGCAGCTTCACTCCTGAATCTCCCAGGTTATTGTAGCTGAGGTCCAGCTCTCTCACGGGTGAGTTTGATGACTGGAGAGCTGTGGCAACAATTTCACAGGACTTCTTTGTAAGACCACAGCTGCTGAGTCTGAAAGAAAGAGGTGATGTGTTAATATTTAACACTTTATATTTTAAATATAGTATTGATAGTGCTCACTGATAAAGAGTGATAATGAGGATTGTAAGATCTACAATGCTCTGAGGAAGATGTCTGTGCTACACTCTCCAACCGTAGCACTTTACACCTGAGAATAAGATGTCCTGCTCAAGTCTGACAGTTCTACAGCTGTGGTTCTGACCCTTTTCCTCTTTTCAGTTCTGTCAGAATTTGGGGCTAATGGCCCAGCTACCTTTTCCACAGTCTTTTTCAGGCTAACTCTGGGCTTTAAGCCTCACTCACGGCCCGACTCATGCCCCTGAGCCAAGTGTGGACAGCAGGGCTAAGGATGGAGTTATCAGATCCTTTTATACTGTATTTCATGATTAAAGCAAATTGTAGCCTTGAGAGTGAATAGTGAGTTAGACTGACAAGTTGTGAGAAGTTTGTATTTCCTTCCAATGAGAGTAAAAAAGCAAACATTATCACAAAGCTAAAGGTTCACAGGAGTAATCACAGGAAGGCAAGGGGGTTTTTAGTTCACATCTGATCAGCAGTGTAGCGTGTCTGTTCTGCTGGTGATAATTTCTCAATGATCTGTGACCAAACCTTTTGATAGTTATTGGTTTTTTGAATTTTACCAAAAAAACCCCAACATAGGAACACCAGTGTCAAAACAGTGCACATCACTGAGCCATCAGCAGGAAACTAAAATCATTTTTTGATGTTAAACACAATGAAAGAGCTCAGATAAGAAACTAAAATGTTTACTCTCTGATACTTACCTGCCATTCTCTGAAAAAATTAAAGACAAAATAACAGAACCAAAAAGCAATCAATATTCTAGGCTACTACAGTCTGCTTTCCCTGTTTTCAGGCATCAGTCAGTTTCAGAGCTTGTTTATAATCAGGTCTGCATTTCAGAACATTCACAGTTGCTTCTGTTCAACTTACTGGCCTGAAATTCTGAACTAAATGATTATGGCTAAAATTCTAATCACATTATTCTGCTAAATACTGTGATTTAAATTTGCAATCACAATTATCAGTCTGATTCAAGAAACAAAATTATTTTTTTGTACTTCATGCATCTTAAAACATGATCATATTTTTCCTTTGATTCTTGAAAATCAGTGCATAACTCAAAGTTGTAACAGCTAGAAAAGCTCATTTTCAATTTTGTTGTGGTCCTTATTTGAAGATTTAGCTGTGCTATGAGTTGTATGAATGATAATGATAAACTGGTGTGAAACCAAAGTATTTCCAAATTTTGTGCTCACTTTGCCACTTTCAACTGGCCCTGACATCTACTGCTCCTGTACTGGCATCACAGTCCAGCGTTTACCTGGTTCTGGGTCAATGTGCTCAGCATCCAAAGGTATCACAGTCTCCTTATCCTCAAACTCTCATAATATTCTGGATGGAAAGTGCTCAGTAATTCTTTGGAATTGGGTGATTTTTCCCAGTACCTGGAAAGCCTTTGATACTTCAGCATAGTCTGTATAAATACCCACATTTTGAAGTATGATTAAACTCTAACTGTCAATGTCATATATCTAGCATAAATTCATTCTGTGGCACTGTACCACTGAATTACCCGATTCTGCTTTACTTTGCTGTGATAGAGGAGTAAGAAGAGAGGGATGGGACCAATGTGGACAAAGGAAGGAAGGCTGGAGAGAGGAGAAGTTTGATGGAGAGAAGGAGCTGTTTAAGGTTTCTCTGTATGGAGCCATATTCACTAACTATTTACTAAAAGTCACAAAGTACACAGCACTACTCACCCCAGTGTCTGTAGTTTACAGTTTGGACTCTTCAGTCCAGCACAGAGCAGCTTCACTCCTGAATCTCCCAGGTTATTGTAGCTGAGGTCCAGCTCTCTCATGGGTGAGTTTGATGACTGGAGAGCTGAGGCCAAAATTTTACAGGACTCCTTTGTAAGACCACAGCTGCCCAGTCTGAAAGAAAGAGGTGATGTGTTAATATGTAACACTTAATATTTTAAATGTAGTATTGATAGTGCTCACTGATAAAGAGTGATATTGAGGATTGTAAAATCTATAGTGCTCTGAGGAAGATGTCTGTGCTACACTCTCCAACTGCAGCACTTTACACCTGAGAATAAGATAACCTGCTCAAGTCTGACAGTTCTACAGCTGTGCTTCTGACCCAAATAGCTCCATTTCCACTATTCAGTCTTGTCAGAATTGGGGCTAATGGCCCAGGTACATTTTTCACAGTCTTTTTCAGGCCAACTCTGGGCTTTAAGCCTCACTCATGGCCCTACTCATGCCCCTGAGCCAAGTGTGGACAGCAGGGCTAAGGATGGAGTTATCAGATCCTTTTATACTGTATTTCATTATTAAAGCAAATTCCAGCCTTTAGAGTGAATAGTGACTTGGCTTGACAACTTGTGAGGAGTTTGTATTTCCTTCCAATGACAGTAAAAAAAGCAAACATTATCACACAGCTAAAGGTTCATAGGAGTAGTCACAGGAAGGCAAGGGGGTTTTTAGTTCACATCTGATCAGCAGTGCAGCGTTTCTGTTCAAACTTTTTGGTAGTTATTGGTTTTATGAATTTTACCAAGAAACCCCAACGTAGGAACACCAATGTCAAAACAGTGCACATCACTGAGCCATCAGCAGGAAACTAAAATCATTTTTTGATGTTAAACACAATGAAAGTGCCCAGATAAGAAACTAAAATGTTTACTCTGTGATACTTACTTGCCATTCTCTGAAAAAATTAAAGACAAAATAACAGAACCAAAAAGCAATCAATATTCTTAGGCTGCTGCAGTCTGCTTTCCCTGTTTTCAGGCATCAGTCAGTTTCAGAGCTTGTTTATAATCAGGTCTGCATTTCAGAACATTCACAGGTGCTTCTGATCAAGTTACTGGCATGAACTTCAGAGCTAAATTATTATGGTTAAAATTAGAATTAAACAAAATATTGTGATTACAATTATTAATCACAATTATCTGATTCAGAAAACAATACAACAATAAAAATAAACAATAAAAATATTTTCTTGTACTTTATGCATCTTAGACCATGTTCATCTTTTTTCTTTGAAAAATGAATAATGCCCTGATTTACAACCAAAGTTGCAACAGCTAGAAAAGCTCATTTTCAATTTTACTGTGGTCCTTATAGTATTTAGTTGTCCAAACAACAATGATAAACTGGTGTGAAAGTTGTATTTTCAAATTCTGTGTTGACGCTGCTGCCTTCATCTGGCCCTGGCATCTCCTGCTCCTGTACTGGCATCACAGTCCAGCATTTACCAGGTTCTGGGTCAATGTGCTCAGCATCCAAAGGTATCACAGTCTCCTTATCCTCAAACTCTCATAATATGCTGGATGGAAAGTGCTCAGTAATTCTTTGGAATTAAGTGATTTTTCCCAGTACCTGGAAAGCCTTTGATACTTCAGTATTGTCTGGATATACTGTGTAAATTATTGAATACAGCAAAATGCGTGCTCAAGTTAAGAAAGGAAT